CTGAGAGAAGAGCCTTCCCTAAATGGTGTGTGTCCTTGCCTTCTGGCCACATCCCCCCTGCCTGTGCCTGAGTCACCGGGATACACCAGAGGCCCCCTTACTGACTCAACACACTCCCCTGTGGACCCCTGCCCTCCTCCAGCCCCACGGTGGGCCTCCAGGGTGGTACAAGAGGTCCCCTATGCCCTCCTAGACCCTGTTCAGGTTCCCTCCCACCCCAGGTCTCTGCCTTGTTCCCAAGCACATTCCAGGCCATTGTCTCATGACGAATAGCATTTTCATGCGGGTGTTGGAAAATATGGGCACATGTTTAATGCTTGCAAGCTGTGCTCCACTGTTGACGCTGTGCTTGGGAGCCAGGCAGGCAACTCAAGCTGGGCTGGGGCTCAGCAAAGAAGTGATGACGCAGCAGCCCTGCGAGGCAGCCATCTGCCAGGCCTCCGCCGGGCAGGGACAGCCCCTGGTGCCCACTCACAGTGGGCATGGGGAAGCAGAGTGGTGAGGAAGAACTCAGGTTCTGGAAGGCGATTCTTCTAGGTCTGACTCCTCTGTTCCTCCTCCTCTGGTCAGCTGTGGGTCCTCTCTGAACCCCCGATTCCTCTTCTTTGCGATGGGGGTGGCAACCCTGCCCAGGTTGTGTGAGGACTCAGCATGACACCGCGAGTGGAGCTAGCTCAGAGCCCAGTGCCAGGTGCGTGGTAACTCCGAGGCCACCTGTCTGTACAGATCCCTGTGTGGACTGGGGACTGTAGTGGAAAATGGGCCCTCTTTCCTCCCTCCCCAGCTTCCTGACTCAAGGACCCACTTCTCACACCCTCCACCCTGAGCCTGGCCTCTAGTAAGGGCCCCGTGAGCTGGCCAACACTTCCGCTATTATTACTGTCTTCTTGAGGCTTTGCAACCGAGCGATCTGGGATCCTTCTCCTCAAACCTAGGGTGACCTGGGGTCGAGGCAGGATGCGGCCCCGTCCTCCTCCCCAGCGGCAGGATGGGAGTCGCCCTCAGTGGAGGCCCCTCTGTTGCCAGCCCCAGAACAGCCTCTCCAGGCTCCTCCTCCTGGGGCAAGGGTGGCTGAGCGAGAGGCTGGAACATGGCAGGGCCTCAGCACTGCTCTCTGTGGTGCCTACTCCCGGCCTCTCCTCTCCCTTTCCCTCTTGTGGTGCTTTAATTAGCGATACTCAGAGGGAGACATCTCGTGAGGAGGCTTGTGCTCCGGAGTCTCCTGGGATGAGCCGGCTTTCCAGGCCTCTTCAGCCAGCAAGAGAGTACAAGATCTAGGCTGGGCGAAGTGGCTCACGCCTGTAATCCCAGCACTTTGGGAGGCCCAGGCAGGCGGCTCACAAGGTCAGGAGATCGAGACCATCCTGGCGAACATGGTGAAACCCCGCCTCTACTAAAAATACAAAAGAATTAGCCAGGCGTGGTGGTGGGCGCCTGTAGTCCCAGCTACTCAGGAGGCTGAGGCAGGAGAATGGCGTGAACCTGGGAGGGGGCGGAGCTTGCGTGAGCTGAGATTGTGCACTGCACTCCAGCCTGGGCGGCAGAGCAAGACTCCAAATCTCAAAAAAAAAAAAAAGAGAGAGAGTACAAGACCTGGGCAGGGCACGGCAGGGCAGCCAGGCAGGGCTTGGCCTGAGGGTGACAAGAGCAAATATGTTACATCAGGCCGCCGTTTTCCCAGACACCCGGGTGTTTGCACAGGCACAAGGCCTGCCTGGGCATGAACGGAGAGGATGTGCTGGCCTGGGGGAGGCTGGGGGGTCATTGCACCTCCCATTCTGTCCAGGAGACCCTTGCTTCTTGGGGATAGTGCCCTGAAAGAACCAGCAACTTTCTCTTAGAG